CTCCTTCCCTTGTGGATCCTCTTTACCCACCCTTCTACTTTTTAAAAAACTTTCCCCCCCTAATACCTATCACTTTCTAACATGCCCTAGAGTTAAGTATTTATTATGTTATTTCCTGCATATTTTCTTTCTACTGGGATGTAGGCGCAGTTTTTGTCTGTTATTTTCACTGCAGCCTCCCCAGCCTATAGAACAGTGCCTGGCAAGTAGTAGGTATTTAATGAATATTTGTTGAATGAATGAATGAAATATAAATGGTTTGATTGATGCTGAAAAGGTATATAGGTGGTGGATGGATGATGGTTGAAGAGAGGGTAGATAAAGAATGGAGAGATAGTAGTAGAAAGTTGAGTGGATAGATAATGGGGAATGGGTTATAGGTGAATAGTAAATGGATGGATGGGGGATGAATAAATAGGTAGAGGGATTGAATCCATTCAGCTACTATTTACTGAGCACTTACTGTGTGCCTGGCACTATACCATGCAATGGAGATATACTCATGAGCCAATCCAGCTGGTACCTGCCCTAAGGGAGCTTACAGTTTAGTGGAGAAGATAGATATACATAAAATATAAAATATATACTATAACAGATATATAATATATGTAATTACATAGCATTAATATATAATAATTACATATAATTTAATACATATATAATTCCAAATTATAATACGTGAAAGATATACTATGAAGGAAAAGAACAGGATGCTCTAAGAGAGAATCATATAGATGAAGGATGGAAAATGGGTAGGTAGATGGAAGTGGGTAGGACTTAGACTGGCCTGCTTTACCTTAATGGTCCTGGCCAGCAGCATGCAGCATTCATTTGTAGACCTGCCTGCACCCTGCAGCTCTAATTTCAGAGAGACTCTCCACTCTCTCCCTGGCCTGACTCAGCACTGCCTTTGCCCATCCCCAGTGGCCCTGCCCTGACCCTGCTGACTCACAGTGTCGGGCTGGTCAGAGGACGGCTCCATGGGACCCACAGTTTAACCCAGCCCTTTAACCATCCTCAGTCTGAGAGGTGATAAAACAACCAGAAGGGTGACCAGCGGGTGTCAAGCTCTTGATGCCTGTGCCTAAGCACAGCTCTCCTGATTCTCGAAAGAATATCTCTAACGAGGCTTGGAACTAGAGTTGAGGTTTACCTGGGGGCTGGGGTCAAGGGTAATGAATTAGAGCTAAGACTATCTGCAGGATTGTAACTCAGTCAGGAGCTGGTCAGGGGTCAGCATGGGAAAAGTGGGTGCCCAGTCAACGACCAAGTCAGTGCTCAGTTTGGGGCCTGGGTCAGGATTTAGCCATGGTCAGGGACAGTGATCAGAGCTCAGAGATCAGGCTATGTTCAAGGTTTCAGGTCAGAGTTCAGTTGGAGTCCAAAGTCAGAAAATAGAACTCAGACTGTGACCAGAGTCAAGGATCAGGGCTCAGTCAGTTCCCAGGGCACTGGCCTAGTCTCCTTTTTCTCCAGTGAGGGACCGAGTGGGCAAGTTGGCTCTGGACTGCTTTGAGGAGCATCTTCCAGCCTAAGTCCCATCTCCCAGACAGATGAGCAGCACCTTCTTCAAACCCTTCCCCCTATCCCCTGGCCTTCCCCCAGGCCACGCCCTGAAGGCCAGTCCTGGGTTGATGTCCCCTACAAGGCCTGACAGTTCTCACTCTGGCACCCCAGGGGACCAGGCTAGGAGTAGGGGCTATGGGGCAGGGCTCCGTGCCTGACCCAGGAGGGAGCCTTATGCAAGGTCTTCTGATGTAACTGGCTGTTGGCTGAACACTTTGGCACCCCTCCTATTTCCTACCCCACCCCACAAGCTTTTCTCAGAATGGGAGGGGCTGGGCAATGACCTGGATGGAACATACATAAAATCTCTCTTTCCTTCCCTAGCCTAACTGCTTGCAGGAGGCAATCAGGCAGGCAGGAAGGCCCAGGGAGATCAGATGACAGTAATTCAGCACCAACTCCTGTATTAGGAGGGAATCAATCTGGGGCCCCCTCCCCTTCCCAGCTGGAAAGTAACTGAGAGCATTAGGACCCCTGGAAGTTCAGAGAGCCCCACCCCTGACACACAGAGCAGTAATTTTGTGGCTGAGGCAGAGAGGCACTGGCAGCTGCCCAAGGTCATCCAACTGTCAGAGACAAGGTCAGAACCAGAAGCAAGCTTTCCTCCTGTGGTTTCTAGCTCCTTCCATCACAGGTTGGGGAGAGGACCCTCATCCTTGAGGAGAGCATGGGACCTCCCCAGGAACTTTTGAGCAATCTCAGGTCAGTTTCTGAAACAGTGAGCCAACGTGGGCTTTGGAACCGTACCGACCTGGGTTCACACCCCTCTGGTTTGCCCTGTGATCCTAGGCAGGTTACTTCTCCTTGATGCCTGGTTTTCTCACTCGTGAAAAAGACATACATTCATCCTTAGCTCACAGGGTTGCAGTCAGGATTACATGAGAAAGCAGATGAAGGACACAGCCCAAGCCTGCCGCATGGGGGATTCTCCGGAAATGTGTTCCTTTCTTTCCCTTCACCTTCAGCTCTCAAGGGGTGTGTGTTTGGGGGCCCGGGGGCAGGGTGGAATCCTGGGCTCTGTGGAAATAATATTAACTACTTATCATCAAGTGCTTACCTTGTGCCAGGAACTCTTCTAAACAATTTACCTGCAGGGTGGCTCCCTAGTGTAGTGGTTAGCACGGCTGCTTTACATGTAGAAGGTCCTGGGTTTGCACCCCAGGTGGAGCCACAGACCAGACCCAGGTCCTGGGTTTGCACCCCAGGTAGAGCCACGGACCAGACCCAGGGTGCGCCAGGCCCCGGGTGCATGCCACGAGCGTGTGGGAGGAGACGCCCTGCCTTTAGAGATCCAGTTCTTAAGGGGAGACAGCAACATCCCTTAGGTCAGGGGTGGAAGTGGGGGGTGGGAGGTGGAAATCAAAAAGGGGAAAAAGAAATAAACACTTTACCTGTATTAACTCATTTAACCTCCACTTAATCCAATAACAATTCCCAATAATAACAAGTATTTTGATAACTCTATCAAGAGCATACTATTATCAATTCCATTTTATAGATGAGGGCTCTGGATCTCAGAGTATCTAAGTGACTTGCTCAGTGTCATACAACTAGTATAGGCCAAGGAAGTGGCATAAAGCAGTGGACAAATACATCTAGGGTTAGAGCCAGACTATCTACTTCTAATCCCACTGTCCCCTCACTCCTTTGGCTGGTGATGTCACTTCTCTGAGCCCCAGTTTCCTCAGCCCCCTCCAGGGATGAAATCAGCAACTTGGTGGAGAGGTTGGAGGATGCAGTGAGATGATGTAAGGGAAGCACCCACACAGGACCATGCTCGATCCATGGGCAAGAGAATCACATTCTTCACGAAGAAAACTCAGGCCACAGGGCAGAGCCAGATCACTCAGCAGGGCTGTGGCTGCCACTGGGCCACCGCTGGCACTGGCCTGCTTCCTTTTCTGGGGCCTGAGCCAGATTCAGATAATGAAGGATTTCTGCAAAGCTCCCAGAGAAGGGGGCAGTGCCCAGATTCCTATTAAGTGCTCCCCAAGAGGAGCACAGGCTTGAGCTGCAACTCTTGAATCATCCACTGTATTTCCCAAATCAATTGGCCCAAATCCATTCACCCAACTGTATTATTAGTTCTATAACTTTTTTCTTTCAATCGGCTCATTTTTAAAAACTTAGTCAAATGTATTTGAAGTGGAAAATTTAAACTACTGACCTCAGATGGAAAGCCACTATCATTTGCCGTAGAGGTGAAGTAACTATAAAATTAAATACCAGAAAAGCAAAACAAGATTCTTAAATTCTAGTTAAATCTTGTTTCTTGCTGGAGGCTCTGAGCTGAGGCCTGCTCTCTCTTCCTTAACAAGTGAGGTGTTAAAGACACAGAAGCTGTTAAATGAGATTTTCTCCCCCAGTTATTGGAGGAACAGGAAGAAAATCAAAAGGAAATATGCATATTATGAAATGATTCAATTTATGTAATACAGTCTGGAGACCCTAAAACCATCTGGCACCTACCATTGCTGTACATACCATATTTTGGAAAACACTGACCTAATCCAACTTTCTCTTCTTATTTTACAGATAAGAAAACTAAGGCCCCCAAAGAGAAGGTGACTTGCCCATGATCTGACAGGGTCACTGGCTTCAGCCAGACCTAGAATCTAACCAGAACTCTTTCCAAGGCATCGTTTCACTTTTATGGGAAGAACTTATGAAAGTTTTAAGGACACTAACGGTGAAATTTCAAGCATACCACAATCACTAGTGTCACCTGGGTGGAATGGAAGGCATCAGGTGTGGCTCCTATCATAGCAGTCCACAGTACGCCCTCATCCCCCCGTCCTTCTCTCCACCCTTGGAGCACAGCCCTCCAACTTCTTCCCCCCAGCACTGAGGGTCAGAGACCGGGCTCATGAGAACTACAGCAAATAGAAATGTAGGCTGCTTGGCTCAGACACCTGGGTAAGGATATTCTGAGCCTAGAAAGAAGGGAATTCATGAAAGTGGAACTGTCTCTCTGGGAAAGTGCACATTTTTGCATTTAATTTTGGGGAGTTGGTCACCATTTATTTTCTTGCTTTTTAACAAATGCTTATATAGTATTTATTTGCCGGGTACTACACAAATATTGTCATTTAATCCTCATGACAAATCAATGAAGTAAGTACTATTATTATCCCCATTTTACAGAAAAGGAAACAGAGGCATGGAGAGCTTTAGTAATTTAACTCAAAATCTCACCACTTGGAATTGGTAAAATTTGAGCCCAGGAAAGGTGGTTTGATTATGACACAAGACTGTCTCAGTCTATTTAACCCTTAGGACCACAATGCGAGGAGAGTATAATGAATCACATTTTATAGATGCAGAAACTGAGGCTCAAAGCTACTTGACATCTGTGTCGTAGACCCGGCAGACTCCACTTCTTTGCTACACTCCCTGGACAATGTGTCAGAAATTCTTTTTTTTTTTTTTTCTTGCATCAGATGGGTAATGTGCTGATGTCATAACAAGGTTTGAGGAAGGTACATCTCACACAACAGAATGAACAGCCAATCATCACGCTTACGAACTACAGAAGGATCTGTGTCAGGAATTCTTGGTCTAGGGTTGTGCTACTCCATCTGGTCACACGTGGCTATTAAGCATTTAAAAGGTGGTTAGTGTGACCAGGGAACTGAATTTTTTCATTTCATTGAATTTTAATTTTAAAACAGGTAAAAAAATTTTCCATTATATATAGCTTAATTGTTTTGGTAGGACAACATTTCACTTTAACCATTGACAATTTAGCTTCCATGCTGATTTATGTCCAAACTAAATGTAAAATACACACCAGATTTTGAAGACATTAGTATGAAAAAAATTTAGATGATCTCATTAATAATTTGTAATTGTCTGTTGCTATAACATGCTAGATATATTGGATTAAATAGAATATATTAACAAAATAATTCCACCTGTTTCTTTTTATTCTTCTTTAACATAGTACTAGAAAATTTGAAACGACATATGTGGCTCACGTTATGCTCTTTTGGAAAGTGCTGGTCTAGAGGACTGGGATTTGACACCCCCAACTGTGACAAGGGCCTCAAACTTGGGGGTTAGGCCCAGGGTGTGGTTCCAGAGAACATACTCACAAGGGCGAGCTGAGGCTGCTGGTTTGCAAAGATTGTGAAATGTCACTGGCCAGTGTGGGCTCTGGGGTCAGTGGCTCCAGGTTCAAATCCAGATCTACTGAGCTGGGTGGTCTTGGGTAAGCCCCTCCCCTTGACTCATCTGTAGAACGTAGATGCTGGTGCCCTGCCATCTCACAGTGCCTTAAATGCCTCAGAGTCTTTGCACTTACTTTTCTCTATGTCTCCCCCTCACATCTTTGCATCATCACTCCTTTTCTTCTTAAAGATCCTACTTTAAGCATCACCTTCCTGATGAGCCCTACTGAAAATAGCCACTCTTCAGTCGTATCTATAGAGAACAAATCTATTCTGTTTTATTCAAGAAAACACATACTCTATTTTAAATGATTTTGGTTTATTGATTTTATATTATTGATAATGATCTGTCTCCCCACTGATTTATAGATCAGTGAGGACACCAATGAGTCAATGAGTCGTGACAAGCATGGGTCTGACACAGCATAAAATAAAGTTAGGAATGTGTGAGTAAACCCAGCTCAGTGTTGGCTTCATAGAAGTGCTCAGAAGACAATCATCCCTGCCTTTCTTTATCCCTTACAGCTGTGGGATCTTCGGACTTGAGTCTAGGTGTCCTGGTGTAGAAAATGAGTTCATTTATTCCTTCCAGGCAGGGGAATTTCCAGAGCTAAATGAGATCCCAGAATTCCTTGGTGTGCCCTGAAGACTCTGAGACACAGGAGAGCTGGTCCTTGAGGTTCTGGAACTAAAGAAACATGGGTGACTCCGCCCACCTCCCATTCAACCTCTGCCTGAGGAGTTATTTTTTGGCACTGGTAAATTCTGACAGGAAGACCTTAGAATATTTCCACTGAAAGGTGCTGGACCCCCGAGCTGCATAGGGATGCTTTACCAAATGACAAGTGCCACCGGGGCCTGCCAGGCCTGGGATGCAAGTCCTGTTATAGGCGCCTTCCCCTCTCTGAGCCTCCTTTGTGTCCACTCTTTTTATTGAACACCTATGATGTGCCACACACTGTTCTAAGCATTTTACTGACTTCTTCAATCCAAACAACAACTCTATGAAGTGAGTGCCATACTATTATAAGCCCATTTTATATTGGAGGAAAGGGAAGCGGGGTTTTAAGTAGCTTTCCTGAGATACATCCGCAGTGGGTCGGGGCAGAAATGGGATGCACTCAGGCAGGGTGGCTCTAGAGTACTTGCTCTTACACTAGGCTGCACTGCCTTTGTCAAATGAATGCTATGAAGCCCACCCGACCTCAAGCCTGCCCAGGGCACCACACTGGCCCTTTTGGATCCCTGAGTCAGCTCCTATAAATCTGTGGTTTTTGCAAAGCTCCTAGGCTGTTTTCCCATAGCTGGTTCTCGGGCTGCCCCTTAGTAGAATGGGGAGACTGGAGCTTCCTACCTGTCAAGAGTTCTCTAAAGTTAAATAAAGCAATCGTGGAAACGTGCTTTTATAAACGGAAAGTGCCCGGGAGACTCATTGTTTGCTATTTTTCTCTTCAGTACCATCCTGAGGACGTTCTTCCCATTTCACAGATGGGGAAACTGAAGCTCAGAAAAGCAAAATGCTTTTTTCCAAGATGATCGAGGTTTGGTGCCTACACTCAAACCTCGGGCACCGGGGGGAAAGGGAAGGAGGTGGAGACGAGACATCCCTAGAGGGCCAGAGTGGCGAGGGGTGCCCTGGCCCGGAGCGGGGACCCGATGGGAGGGGCGGGGGCCGGGCGCCCTCGGGCGTGACCCCGAGGGGCGGAGCGCGGAGAGATGGTGCAATCCCCGGCCCGAGCGCACCAGGCAGCGGCTGATTAGCTCAGGTTTACATCATCCCGGCCAGAGACAGAGCCTGGCGCCGAGCGTCCACGAGACACCCGCAGCGGAAGCGGCAGCGGCTTCTCACGCGTTGGGCTGCAAGGGGTCGAGACCAGAGCTCCACCGGATCCTAATCTCAGCCGCAGCAGAGACGGCCCCTGTCCACCAGAGGTGCCCAGGCAAGTCTGTACTCGGGCTGCGGCAGGACCCCGCCGCACGAGGGTAAGGTACCCGCGGGGGGCCAGGGGCTGGTAGGTTGCAAGGGCGGTCCTGCGGAGGGTGGCCCGGGAGTCTCGCAGCCGCTCCGAGCTGCTGCGTGTTACAGACACAAAACAACTTTTAACAGACCCGCCGTCAGGGGGTCGATTTGGGCGGTGTTCCTGCGGGGCCTCAGGTGTCGCGCCCCCTCCCCCCAAGTGTGGCGGATTCCGGCTGGGGCGAGGGTGCACACCCCGGGCGTGGTAGCTGGGTCCTGGGGGCGGAGGGAGCCGGGGACGGAGGTGTCCCGGTGTCGCCCCAAGAGAGGTGTGTGGTTGTCTGTGTTTTGGGTGGGGCGGGGGAGTCCTGTGGTTTGGTGCGGGGAGGTCTGTGTGTGAGGGACTGTAAGAGGCACTGGGGGACTGGGGGACTGGGGGACTCTTTGTAGTGTCTTTGTCATTGTGGACGTGTGTCTGCGGGGGTCCACGTAAGCCTGTGCGGTGTGAGTGGGAATGTGTCTCGGGGTTCTTAGTCTCCGTGGACTGTGCGAGTTGCGGGGAGCACCTGGTGGCAGGTGCTGGTTGCATGGCCGACGTGGTCGGGACAGGGCTGGGTGCCCTGAGGGAGGGGGACCGGTGCAGTGGGAGCGCGGATGCAGGACCCCGGTACGTGCTAGATCTCGGCCGCAGGTGTGCACCTAATGGTGCGGCTACGGGTTTGCACGTTGCACTGAGCGCGCCTTGTTTTGCGCCTGCAGACAGTTTGTGCTGTACCTGAAGACTGGGGTGTGGCGGGGGCGGGGGGGGCGCACGTCCGCCCCTTCCCCTGGCCCTCGAGCCCAGCCTTCTTCCCGTGCCTCACCGGCTCCTCGTCCCCTCGCTGCTCCACGGTTTCCACTGAACTTTCTGTTCCGAAACACCGGCGGCCGCCGCTTCCGCTCCCAAGGGCGGAGCCTGGCTGCAGGAGGCCTGGTGTATGTGTAGGGGGCGGGGAGCGGGGCGTGTCAGACTGTGTGTGCGGCCTTGCTGGTATCAGTCCTGCAGTCGTGTGACAGTGGGAGAGTTGTGTGTGTGCGTGCACGCTTGCCTGCGAAAGGAGAGGTGTGTGTCGCTTAATTATGTGTGTGCCCCTCTTTGCCCTGGATGAGTGCCTGAATGAGTGCTGGCTGGCTTGGACAAAGTGTGTTTTGGAGGGGCGTGTACACCTGTCTGCCCTGTTGAGTGAGTGTATGTTTGGTACGACTTGCCCTTATTGGGGGAGGGGGGGGGAGTGGCGGGAGGAGGGTGTCAGGGAACAGCAAGAGGTATGTATATAGGAGCTTCCTCCATCCTACAGTAGTGATCCAGCAGTGTGGCCTGCGAAGTCCTTCATTCAACTATAGACTCGGATACCCCCTGTCCAATGGAATGGGGTATCCCAGGCCCCACCAAGCTCTGGGGTATGGATAGAGCTAAAGCAGCCTGGAGTGCTGATACAACTACCTAATAGCCACTCCAGGGAGCCTCTGCTTTGCAGGGCACAAAGCATCTACACAGCCAGGGATCATCTTGCTTGACTCAGAACAGCCCATGAGGCAAGGAGTGTCAGCTTAATCTCATCCCTGGGGAGAGTTCTGAGACTCCCAAGGGTAGCACTTAAACAAAATAATAATAATAATAATAATAATAATAATAATAATAATAATAATATAAATGAACAATAATGACCATTTCTTGTAACAGGTCCATGCTACTCTATTTGTGTTTTAATTTCTTTACTGCAAAAATCCTATGGGCTTTAATAGACATATGAAAAGATGCTCAACATCGCTAATTATCGGAGAAATGCAAATTAAAACCACAATGAAATATCACCTCACACCTGTGAGAATGGCTATCATCAATAAATCAATAAACAACAAGTGTTGGCGAGGATGTAGAGAAAAGGGAACCCTCGTGCACTGTTGGTGGGATTGCAAATTGGTGCGGCCACTATGGAAAATAGTATAGAGGTTCTTCAAAAAATTAAAAATAGAACTACCTTATGACCTAGCAATTCCACTTATGGGTATTTATCTGAAGAATTCCAAATAACCAATACAAAAAGATATGTGCATCCCTATGTTTATTGCAGCATTACTTACAATAGCCAAGATATGGAGGCAACCTAAGTGCCCGTCAATAGACAATTGGATAAAGAAGAAGTGGTGTGTATGTATATACATATACATACACACACAAAATGGAAAAATGGAATAGTACTCAGTCGTAAAAAAGAACGACCTCTTACCACTTGCTACAACATGAATGGACCTAGAGGATATTATGCTAAGTGAAATAAGTCAGACAGAGAAAGACAAATACCACTTATATGTGGAATCCAAAATTCAAAACAAACAGAACAGAAACAAACTCATAGATAGAGAACAAACTGAGGTTGTCAGATGAGAGATATTGGGGCTGGGTGAAAAAGGTGAAGGGATTAAGATGTACAAATTGGCAGTTACAAATTAGTCATAGAGATATAAAGTACAGCATAGGTAATATAGTCAATAATATTCTAAGAACTATATATGGTTCCAAGTGGGTACTAGCCTTATTGGGGGATCACTTCACGAGATATGTATATATGTCTAATCACTGTGTTGTACACAAGAAACTGATATAATATTGAATGTCAACTGTAATTGAAAATTTTAAAATAATTTTAAAAAATTCTATGAGCTTATGAGGGAACTGAGACTCAGAAAGGTTGCAGACCTTGCCCAGGGCTAGAAAGAGTGTTTTTTAAGAGTGTGAGCCAGGATTAGATCCTGGGAATATCTGACAGCAGCAACCCCCTATTGCAAAGGCAAGATTATGGCCTTTCACTCAAGGTTGGGGGCTCCCTCCCTTGCTCCCAAGGCAGTCTATGCATTTGGGAGCAGCATAATTAGTGAGTTGGGCCTCAGTCTAAGAATTGACTCTGAGCGATATTAATCCTGTCTCAGAGTATTGGAAAGGTTTTAACTGGGCTGAAGTCTGTCTCCCTCTAACACCTCATACTTGGGCCTCCTTGTCCCTCATCTGGAGTCTAAATGAGTAGGCAGATGGATCCTGCAGAAAACATTTCTGCCCTGACATGCCATTGCCATCTTCTCCACTCAACACACGGATACACAGCTGCGAGGGTGGTGGCTTCTTCCATCGTTGAATGAATAAGTCTTGGGAACTTTGAGAGACCTCCCCTCCCTGCTTCACTTCTCACCTGAGGATGAAACTGAGTTGGCTGGTGGACTAATTCTGCATATGGACCCTGTAATTCCGGTAGTTCTAGGGCCATCAGGCAATTGTAGATAAAATTCACAGCTGAAAAAAAGAAATCCACTCTATCCGTTTTGAAATACTCAAATATTGAAATAGAAAATTCCCTTGCCTCCTGTCCAAATCCAAATCCCTTCCTCTCCCAGAGGTCTCCAGGAGGCCAGGGGCTCCTGTGGTCAATTTAGTCTGGGTCTTTCCTGTGCACTTCCATATACATACATATTATATATGTATAATATAGAGAGAGATACAACATATTATATGCTGCTGGGGTTTTTAACATGAATGAGACCATCTTGAGTGTATTGTTCAGCAGCTCACTTTGTTCATTTGACAATATATCCATTCCAGAATATACATTCACATGTACACACCTCATTCATTTATCATCCTTCATCATCCTTCCTCCCTCCTTTCCTTCTCTTTCCATCCCTCCCTCCGTTTCATAGGTACTAGCTGCCTACACTATAACACTCAACACATACAGTGCAAGGTCTCCCTTCCTGTAACCAACCACCAGTCCATCTCTCCCCTTTACTTTTTTTTCACTTAATAGTTTACTCTGGAGATCTTTTCAATTAGCATATAAAGAGTTCCCTCAATCTTTTAAATGGCTACAGTTGTTCCATGTATGGATGAAACTTAATTAACCAGACCGCTAATGATGGATGTTCAGTTGTTTCTATCACATGGGCTGCAGGAATGACCTTATACTTGCATTATTACATCAGAATGTAGAGAGCTTCCTGGTCTCTTTCAGAACTGTATAGTATTCCACTATATGACTATACCATGATGTTTTAACCAGCCTCCTACTACCGGACATTTAGGTGTTTCTTGCCCTTTGCTATTAGACATAAGGCTCTGATGAACAGCTTTTCACATATTTGGCAAGCATTTTAATTAGAGAATAAATTCCCAGAAGCGAGACACACAGTTAAGGATGCGTGCAGTCGTCAGTTTAATGCACATTGCCAAATCACCCCCCATAAAGGCTGTGCCAATGTACCTTCCCACCAGCAGGGGAAGAAAGGGGCCACCAAACAGCTTCACTTTAGCACCTTTCTCCCTTTCATTCTAGATGCGAGTCACCCCTCTGGCAGCTCCTATGGGTGTCCCCTCCAGGAAGAAGCAGTTGAAGTTGGACGATGACCTAGACACTGAGTATCCCATACGGAAACAAGCTCGAAGTGGACCCCAGCCCAGGCTTCCCCGCTGCCCACTGCCTCTGAGCCCACCTCCTGCTCCAGTCCATGTCTCTGCTGTGACCACTGCCTCCCAGCTTGGGCCCTATATCCTCCTGGAGCCTGAGGAGGGTGGCCGAGCCTACCGGGCCCTGCACTGCCCCTCAGGCACTGAATATACCTGCAAGGTATGGGGGCTGCTCGTCACCAGCATCACAGGGGAACTTTAAAGGGCTTTCGCTTTAGAGGATTAATAAGACTGGGGGATCTCTATATTCATTTAGTCCTATGTTTATTGGAGAAACAGCCAGTGAGCCCCCAATACTCTGTCAAGCCCCCTGGCTGGGCTGAGACTAGAGAGGCAAACCAGATGACCTCAGCCATGGGGAAATCACAACTTAGGGCCTCGTAGTGTGATACATGTCACAGAGGTGGAGCTTAGGGGCCACGACAGGAGTACAGAGGAGAAGCCTCCAAGGTATTCAAGGGAGGTGTTAGAAAAGGCTGAGTAAGAGTTAGCCAGAGAGAAGTGGGGGATGGGAGGTCCAGGCAGGGAAACAGAGGGCTAGAGGAGTGAGAGCGTGGCGCTTCAGAGAATCAACAGGACTTCACTATGGCCAAGTGGAGAGGGTGTGCAGTCAGGGACGGGAGATGAGGGCTGGCATCCACTGGGCATGAAAACATTGGGAAGGAGCTCCCACTGGGCTGTGGGGAGCCACTGAAGATATTTGCACAAGAGAAGGATATGGGAGGCATCGAAAATCCTGGGACCCTGGAGGTTGTGGCGCCTACCATGTGGCTATTTTACAGATAGGAAGACTGAGAGCAAGAGAAGGGCCATGCATGAAGCCACATAGAATCGGGCCTGGCTTTCTAGGGCAATGTCCAGTGTTCCTGGCCAAAATCAGGGTTCTTGGCAGAAATTGAGAAATGGACAGGGCTAAGGCTCCCTGAGGGTCAGGCCCACACAGGACATTGGCAAGTAACAGCCCAAAAGGACAGAGCTGAGAAAGTATAATAACAGGTATTTACTGTATACCAGGTACTGTATTGATTGCTTAGTGTGCAAAATTCTTCTAATCTTTGCATAATCTATGAAGTAGTTATTGGGCCCATTTTATAGATAGAGGACACTGAGGCTCAGAAAGATGTGGTTACTTGCCACATGATAGAGCCAGGAGGTGTCAGAGCTGAGACTGGGCCTGGGCAGGCTGAACCCAGAGCCATGTGCCCGTTGCTGGAACAGGTAGTTCAGACACAACCAGGGCAGGTTTGCTCCTGGTGGGCAGGAGTAAGGAAGATAGGAGAGGGGGTGCAGGTGGTTTTAGCTGGGGAGGTCCGGGAAGACCTCTCTGAGTAGGTGACATTTGAATAGTGACTTGTGTGAATTGGAGGAGCCAGCCCTGTGAAGAGCATCCAGGCAGCAGGAAAGTCAAGTGCAGATGCACAGAGGCAGGGATATGCTTGCTATAACTGTAAAAATAATGTCTGTTTTTGGATTATTTCCTTCATGCCACCCAACTTTATTTTTTAGGACACAGGCTTACATTTTTTTTCCTGATGAATTAAATATGTACATGCTTTATTTTTATTTTCTGTGTGACATAGCTAAAATAACAAGCAAAGAGTTCAAAGTCAGATGAACCAAAATGAGTATACCAGGTTGGCTGCCGATTGGCTGTGTGGCTTCCATCCAACAAGTCCCCTTCCTCCTCTGAACATCTTTTCAGGACTGTGGTGAGGCTTCCATCTAAGGTCCATAAAGCCTCCAGCACATTTCCTGACAAACTCAGCCACTCTTACCATGTGCCCCCCTTCCTTCCCCCACCCAATTCCAGCCATGTCGATCTTTAGTTGGGTCTCTGGAGCTGATCAAGCTCTTTCTTGTCTCAGGGACTTTGCACTGTCTGTGACTCCTGGAAAGCTTATGCCATGGGCACTTCTGAATCACTCAGATCACTTCTCCAGAGTCCCTTCTGGACCACACTTTTCAAAATAGGTGCCTCCTTCCAAAATATGCTGCATCACAGCATCCTTCTTAGTTCCTTTGCAATGCTTATCAGAATTGGTAAATATTTCATTTTTTGACCTGTTAACTGTTTCCTGCATTGAATTGTGGGCACCAGAAGGGCAGGGACCATGGCCGTCAGTCAAGTTAGATCCTCAGTGGCTGGCACAGGTATAAATGAATGAAAAGATGAATGAGCAGTGAATTCTAGAGAATGGTAATGATGATGATGATGGACTTAAAGTTACTTCTGCATCATCTGCTCTTCTGGATTTCCCCTGCTTTCAGGGTTCTTTTGTTTGAGTTGCCTGTCATTTTTCAATTATCTTAAGTCCATGTAAGGTAGCTATTTAAGAGTACTTGCTGGCTACGTGGCCTTTCAGCTTTGTCAGGGTTGAGTGGCTTGCTGCGGAAGCATTTGGCACAGTGCCTAGCACCCAGTAGTGTCCAAAGGGTTGGCTGTGACTGTTTTCAAGGTCAGCCTGGGCTCCATGCGGTTTCTACCTGTGCTCACGCCATGCTCCGCCCACAGGTATACCAGGTCCGTGATGCTCTTGCTGTGCTGGAGCCTTACTCGCGGCTGCCCACCCACAGGCATGTGGCACGACCTGCAGAGGTCCTGGCGGGCACACAACACCTTTATACCTTTTTCCTGCGGCCCCATGGGGACATGCATAGTCTGGTGCGCCGGCGTCGCCGCCTCCCGGAGCCCGAGGCTGCCACCCTCTTCCGCCAAATGGCCGCCGCTGTGGCTCACTGCCACCAGCACGGTTTAGTCCTACGAGATCTCAAGCTGGGTCGCTTTGTCTTCACCAACTGTGAGAGGTGAGTGTGGCCACAGAGAACTCACCCACAGACACACCCAAGAAGTGGGCCATAATGGGGGAACTGAGGCTCAGGAAGGCAAAGTAACCTATGCAAAAAGTGGAGAAGCCTAGACTAGCACTACTGCTTGGTTCTGGGTGGGGCGGGGGAGAAGCTAGCTCAGTCCTGTTGGAAGCCCCTTGGGGTGGAGCATTGCCTTTGTGATAATAGTCACAGGATGAATTGTATAGCTGCACTGACTGACTTGGCATGGATCCTTACAAATATGAGATCTACACTATTACTGTCCCCATACGGCAGGTGAGGAAACTGAGACCTAGAGAGGTCAGTAATGCCGAAGATCCCACAGCTAAATAAATAGTAAAACTGAGATTTGAACCCAGATGTGACTCCAGAGCCAGGGTCTTAATTGCCTCTGAGCTGGAGAGGTGGGAGGCCTGGCTGGGCTTACCTCCTGACTCTGGGTGACCCCGTGTCTCTGGACCTCAGTTTTCCCATTCATAGAGAAAAGGCTGGATTGTCAAGATGTTTCCAGGATTTCAAGGCTACAGACAACAGCTAAAATGGGCCCTGAGTTCCCACACAGAAACCTTTCCTGTGAAACTGAAACTCAGTGATTTTTGGAGAGGGGACAGAAAGGGACTCCCAGGAGTATGCAGGGTATGTCAGAGAACTCTCCAAAGCATCAGGTCCCCATGAACATCCATTGAGAGCACTGATTTCATTTCAAGATTTTTTTTTTTAGGTGGGGAGGAGGGTGACCCCATAGAACATTTTTAACTGTTTATTTTGAAATACTTTTAGACTTTAAGAAAAGTTGCGAAAAATAATCCAAAGAGTTCCCGTATTTTCTTCACCAAGTTTCCCCTAATGTTAGCATCTTACATGACCATAGTACAACGACCAAAACCAAGAAATTGGTCTAGTACTGTTAACTAAACCACAGATTGGTTCAGATTTCATTAGTTTCCCACTATGTCTTTTTTCTGTCTGGGGTCCAATCCAGGGCCCCACCCCACACTCTGTCGTCATGTCACCTTAGTCTCCTCTAATCTGAGACAGGTCCTCAGTCTTTCCTTGTCTTTCTGGACTTCTGAAGAGTATCTGTCAGTTATTTTGTAAAATGCTCCACAATTTGGATTTTGCTGATGTTTTTCTCACAGTTAGGCTGAGGTTATGCAGCTTGGGCAAGAATATCACAGAAGTGATAGGCCCTTCTTAGCACTTCATATCAGGGGATACATGCCGATAATATGTATTACTCTGATGTCAACCTCAATCATTGGTGAGTGTGGTACTGCCAAGTGTCTACACTGTCAGGTTCCCAATTTACCCTTTGTAATTAATAAACACCTTGGGTAATGTCTTGTAATTAATAAGTACCTTGAGGTACTTTGAGGCTATGCATATAAATACTGTTTCTCCTTAAACTTTCACCCACGAATTAGCAGCCATCCATCTTCCCCTGTAGCAGTTATTACTGTGATGTTTATCTAAAGGTGATTCTCTATTTCCTCCTTTCCTTCTACGTTTTATACTAAAATGAACATGCCTTCAGTAAGAAGTGGAGCGTAAGATTTCTAATGATTTTTTAGGCTAATGCACAACTTTGAGCTTAGGAGTGGGTAAAATATCCCCAGACCTCCCAAAGGTGAGAAAGTGCTTCCTTCTCTTTTCAAGGCAATAGTTTGAGAAGCACTGTTGGTAGAAAAGGGACAGTGGAGTTAGACAGAGCTGGGTTCGAATCCTGGTTCTACTTTTTATCTGCTCTTTGAGCAATGGCTTCACCTGCTTGAGTCTTGACTTCTGCATCTGTAAAATGGGCCAGCAATGGGTGCGCATGCACACACAACACACACACACTCCTGTGCTATGATTCACTGAGTTAGTCAATGTTTGTGAAATGCTATCAGGCACCCAGGAAGTGGTACCAGAGGAATTAGATGAATAGCAGTGGAAATAGATGGTTATTATTAAAGTAACTTAGAGTGCTCCATGGGAGTTGTTTAAAGCAGAAGTTTCAAACGGTGGGCTACACATGCATTTTCTTTTTTCTTTTTGGCCCCATGTACATGTTCATTTGTTTTCAATTGAAATTGGTTGCCAATATTTCAAAAACTTGGACTTTTTCATTAAAATATGATTTCTGGCTTCTCTTAAATGGGAACGTGGGGCCCCTTTGGGAACTACATGAGTGGTTCATAGTGCTGTCTCTGATGGGTGAGAACTGGGGTTCACATCCCAGCCCCACACCCTGTGGCTGTGAAATGGTATCTTCCTCACAAGTTGTATGAGGATGAAATGAGACATGCCAGGTACGCAGCTTAGCTCAGGGCCGGGTACTCAGTGGACAATCCATAAATATTGACTGTTGTTAGTGGTGCCTTTTTTAGGCAGAGTTTGTGCTGAGATGTTTGGCACAGTCCCCACTTCTTATTTCTCTCACTTTTTTACCTGCCTGGATTCTAAACTTGGATCAGGTTTATAAGAGGCTTAATGCCCACACCCCTCTCAGCCCCCTCCCCAAGAGACTGTGGGAGATGTATTCCTCTCAGAGTCCTAGTTCAAATTTAATTGTTCTGTGACCTTGAGAAATGACGTAACCACTCTGAGCCTGGGCATCCTTATCTGTAAAATGGGCTCAATCATCCAGGCTCACAGGACTTGAGAAGTGGGTGCCATTCAGGGTGATGGTGTGGGCTGGTGGCTTGGGGCTCCCAGAAGGAGTTGACTCTCTGTCTCTCCCCTTGCCACAGGACAAAGCTGGTGCTGGAGAACTTGGAGGATGCCTGTGTGCTGACTGGGCCGGATGACTCCCTTTGGGACAAGCATGCATGCCCGGCCTATGTGGGACCTGAGATCCTCAGTTCTCGGGCATCCTACTCGGGCAAGGCAGCAGATGTCTGGAGCCTGGGTGTGGCACTCTTCACCATGCTGGCTGGCCACTACCCCTTCCAGGACTCAGAGCCTGCCCTGCTCTTTGGCAAGATCCGCCGTGGAGCCTTCACCCTGCCCCAGGGCCTCTCAGCCCCTGCCCACTGCCTAATCCGCTGCCTCCTTCGACGAGAGCCAGCTGAACGGCTCACAGCTTCAGGCATCCTGCTGCACCCCTGGCTGCGAGAGAACCCAATCCCCTCAGTCCCATCCAGATCCCACCTCTGGGAGGCTGACCAGGTAGTCCCCGAAGGACCGGGACTGGAGGAGGCTGAGGAAGAGGAGGGAGAAAGAGAAGCGGGTCTATATGGCTAAGGCTACCCTACCAGACTCAGCTGCAAACAGTGAGTTGAGTTTGGGGTGTCTCCAAGCTCTCTTCTGCCTCTTGGAACTGACAAACCTTAAGTGCCTTCTTAGTAAAGAGAAAAGAGGAGGCATGTGCGGAGTGTGTATTTGCACGCTCATGTGGATCTACACGCCTGTGCACGTGGGCTTGTGGATTCAACAAGTCCTTCTTGGGAGCTCATTGTGTGCCACAACCTGTTCTTGGTTCTGGGAACACAGCCGAGAACAAAAAAGACAAAACTCCTGCTCACACAGCTGACAGTACTTTTCTACAATCATAGGCCAGTGTCTGCTCTGGGCTGAGCACAGTTAGTGCAGGTGTCACTGTCCACTTGTGCTAGTGCCCCAGCACCTCTGTCCTAGGACAGTCCCTTTCACAAACAACCCAGATGCCTTTGTACCTTGTTCCTTTCGGAGAAAGGGAAGCATCTTGTGCCAAAGGCTCCAGGCCTCTCCCCTTCAACTTAGGACTCCAGAGCCCAGGCTATGCTGGGAATTCTGTACCTCTTGGTCAGGCCTGAGCCAAGGATTTGGGCTGGAAGATTAAGAATGCAAACTGTGAGATGGGTCCTCATCTAACTCCAGGAGTGGTTTGGAATGAGGGTCCACACCTGAGCTGAGCACCAAAGTGGGGGGACATATTAGGTGGGGTCTTCCCCCTGGCCTCCCTAGAAAGTCCTAAGCCCAGTTCTGGGGACACTTGGGGTCCAGGACCCCATATCAGCACTATAGATTTGGGATGCCATGAGTATATAATTTTACCTTGTGCCTAATAAAGAAGTTACGAAATACTTTTATTTTCCTGGACATTTTTTCTATCCTCTCATTTTTTTCCCCCCCTTTCCAAACCAGCCCCAGGGTGAGAGGCCAGCGGGCCCGTGTCTCAGCCTCATTGGAGTGGTTTGTGAGGACAGACTCCCTACAGTCCAGTGAGTCCTCTAGACTCGCTCTCTTCCTTCTAGAGGCAATGGTGTTTCCACTGGGGTAATTTTTGGCTGCAATTAACCAAAACCCTGAGTCAGTGGCTTAAAAAAGAAGGAAGTGTAGGTGGGGAAAAAAAGTGGCGAAGATAATGGAGGCTCTGTTCATCCCTCTGGCGACCAAATCAAAGTTGTGACGGAAACAAGGAGCAAGCAGCAAGGGAAAATCACCTGGGATCTTGATGAATAAGCCATACAACTAGGGAGAAATCCAAGAAATCACCCTGCAACGGCAGAAGATAGGATGCGGTGAGGACGCGGGGCTGCCCCGTTTCCAGAGGCTGAGTGAGATGGAGGCTGCAGCAGCGGCAGAGACCACTTAAAGGAGCTGTGACCGCGAGGGGATTTTGCGGTGATAGACCTGCTCACTCTGAGCACCAGTGCCAATTCGGCTGCGTGCAGGGGGCACCAGGGACTTACTGGGAGACATTGTCAGAGTGAGGGCCGAGGCAAGACTTGCTGGGTACAGAAGTGCCCGCAGTATCCATTGTTCCCTGTTGAGCCCTCCCCCGTACCAGTGCACGGACACAGGGCTGCCATAGTTGTGATGTCATCAAACTGGATGACAGAGGTCACTCGGCCCAGAGGATTCCCTGAAACCCCGCCTCTCTCAACTCGTGGCCCCACCCAAGCCACATCCAGGTGCATCCTCAGCGAGTCAGATGCTCCTTCCTGAGACTCACACTGTTGGAGGCAGCTAACCTCAGTTTCTGGTGTGGCCTTTTGAGGCAACTATAAGCACAGCATCTGTGGATTGCTTGCTGAATCTTAACAGGTGGCCCCAGAGGGGTAGAGGCTTGGGCTAAATTTGGCCTGCAACTGAACCCCTCTCAGGACTGTGCCACGGGACACCTACTTCACAAATCCACAGTAAGAAGACTGGGAGACTTAGGAGCTTTGCTTAGTACATAGAAACAGACATGGAAAAGCAGCCAAAATGGGAAGACGAAGAAGCAGAAACCATATGAGAGAACAGAACAGAGATCCAGATATAATGGAGTCAAATAATCTAACCGACACACAGTTCAAAGAACTGATTATAAAGATGCTCAATGAAATTTTGGGAAGTGTAGATAAATTCAGCG